GCACTCTGACCGAGGCGGAGAGTCCTCCTCTGGCCTTCTGCGAGCCTACTATCGTGCGCAAGGCATCCGCAAGACCTTTACGCTTCCGGACTCTCCACAGCAAAATGGGATTGCTGAGCGCCGCATTGGCATGGTCATGGACGTTGCTCGTACGTCCATGATGCATGCGGCTGCCCCCCATTTTCTGTGGCTGTTTGCGGTTCGGTACGCGGCGCACCAGATCAACCTTCACCCCAGGGTCTCCCGGCCGGAGACCTCCCCAGCTCTGCTGTGGACGGGGAAGGTTGGCGATGCGTCTGCGTTCCGTGTCTTGGGATCTCGAGCGTTTGTCCGCGACTTGTCTGCGGACAAGCTGTCCCCTCGTGCTGCTTCCTGTGTCTTCCTTGGCTTCCCCCCTGACGCACCAGGGTGGCAGTTCTACCACCCCTCCTCTCGTCGTGTTCTGTCCTCCCAAGACGTCACGTTCGACGAGTCAGTCCCCTTCTACCGCCTCTTCCCCTACCGCACTCCTTCCCTCCCCCCACCACCGCACTTCCTTGTGCCAGGTCCCCCCCCGGTAGACCCCCTTCCCCCTCAGGGTCTTGCCCCTTTAAGTGTGTCCCAGGTCGACGCAGTCAAGCCGGTCGAGGTTGCTGGTGACTCTGGTACTGCTGTGCGTGCTGAGCCTGGGGGTGCTGACTCGGAGGGTGTTGCGCGCGAGGGTGCTGAGTCCGGGGGTGCTGCGACTGGGGGTGCTGAGCCTGGGGGTGCTGAGCGTGGGGGTACTGCGACTGGGGGTGCTGAGTCTTGGGGTGCTGAGCCTGGGGGTGCTACGGCAGGAGCTGCTGAGCCAAGGGGTGCTGCGTCTGGAGCTGCTGAGCCTGGAGGTGCGGAGCCTGCGGCCGCTGGACCTCCCCTTGTGGCGTCTGGCGGTGCTGGGCCTGGAGGTTCTCCGGGTGCTTCGTCTCGGCGGGAGCCACTCTCTCCACAAAAGCTGCGCGAGTGGTTTGCTCGCCGCTGTAGGCGTCCTACTAGAGCTGGAGCTTCTTCGGCCGCTGAGGGTGCTGGTGCCGCCGGTCCCGGAGCTGCTCGGCCTGCAGGTCCGAGTGGAGCTGGAGCTGTCCGTCCTGGCGGTGGTCTTGCTGCGGGTGTTGCTGGTACTTCTGGAGGTCCTGCAGCAGGAGTTGCTGTTGGCGCTGGTGCTGCCGTTGAGGGTGCTGGTGCTGTCCCTGCTGTATCTAGAGTTGCCGCGCGGCCTCGGCCGTACTTCGTTCCGCTCCTGCAGCAGGTTCTTGGTCCTTCTCCTCCTGTAGTCTGTCCACCGCCTGCCCAGTCACAGTCACAGTTAGAGCCCGCCTCCCTTGTGCCTGCTCCCTCTCCTTACACTGGTCCTACTAGAGGTCTTGCTGAGCGTCGTGCGCCTGCATCTCGTCCCGCGTCGCCTGTTCGTGCTGCTCACACTAGTGGTTGCGGTTCACGTCGGCGTCCTCCTCCTCTCCCTGGCATGCACCGGATGTCTCTGCGCCCGGCCACTGCTACTCTGCGTGTCCCTTTGCCTTCTCCTCCTGCGTCCTCTCTTCCTGCTCTTGTCGACCCGGAGTCGGACTCTCTTTGTGCTGCCAGTCCTACTGTCACGCGTCTCCTTGCTACTGTTGTCACTGACCCCTCTTTTGAGTCCACTGCTGCGTCTGCTCTTGTTGCTGAGCTCGTTGACTTTGCTGCTCGCTGTCGTCTAGACTACGCTGCTAGTCTTGTTGCTGAGTCTCCGCCTGTCTGTCCTCCGTCCATCGGGGGTGAGTGTGCTCTTAACACAGACGTCCTTGAGGACAGACAGGAGGAGTTCCAGTGTGTGGCTGCTGCTTCACCTCATCTCGCGTCCGTGCTGCTTGCCCCTGAGGGAGACCCGGATGCACCAGACATCCCGACTCCGCGCTCTTACGAGGAGGCCGTAGAGGGTCCCTACTCCTCTCAGTGGCAGGCAGCTATGGATGCAGAGATGGCTTCCAGGAAGTCCACAGGCACCTACGTTGACGCGGTTCCCCCTCCTGGGGCGAACATCGTCAGTGGCATGTGGATCTTCAGGGTGAAGCGGCCGCCGGGCTCTCCACCTGTCTTCAAGGCGCGGTACGTCGCTCGTGGCTTCAGTCAGCGGCAGGGAGTTGACTACTTTCAGACCTTCTCTCCCACCCCAAAGATGACCACTCTTAGGGTGCTGCTGCACATAGCCGCTCAGCGCGACTATGAGCTTCACTCTCTTGACTTCAGCACTGCTTTCTTGCAGGGTAGCCTGCACGAGGAGATCTGGCTGCGCCGTCCACCTGGCTTCACTGGGACTTTCCCTCCTGGCACCCAGTGGAGCCTCCGACGGCCAGTCTATGGTCTCCGCCAGGCACCGCGTGAGTGGCACGACACACTGAGGACTACGCTTGCGGCTCTTGGGTTTGCTCCCTCTACTGCTGACCCGTCGTTGTTTCTGCGCACCGACACTTCTTTGCCGCCGTTCTACATCCTTTTGTACGTCGACGACTTGGTCTTTGCCTCTTCTGACACTGCTGGACTCGCCTACATGAAGTCCGAGCTTCAGAAGAGACACACGTGCACAGACCTGGGTGAACTGCGCAGCTACCTTGGCTTGCAGATCACTCGGGACAGAGCACGCCGCACCATTACCTTGACTCAGTCACACATGGTGCAGCAGGTCCTTCAGCGCTTCGGTTTCACGTACTCCTCGCCTCAGGCCACTCCTCTGTCTACTCGCCACTCGCTCTCAGCTCTGCCTTCGGATGAGTCCGTAGAGTCGAGTGGCCCGTACCCAGAGCTTGTTGGCTGCCTCATGTACCTGATGACCTGCACACGACCTGACCTTGCATACCCTCTTAGCATCTTGGCACGCTATGTTGCTCCTGGGAGACACCGACCAGAGCACATGGCTGCAGCGAAGAGGGTGTTGCGCTACTTGTACAGTACGTCGGGCATGGGGCTAGTGCTTGGAGGGCGGAGTCCACTAGTCCTCACTGGGCACGCGGACGCTTCTTGGGCTGACGACCAGGCTACGCAGCGGTCGTCGCAAGGTTACACCTTCAGTCTTGGTTCCGGCTCTATTTCGTGGCGGGCTACTCGCTCGTCTTCTGTTCTCGGCTCCAGTTGTGAGGCTGAGATCTATGCCGGGGCCATGGCTGCACAGGAGCTTCGCTGGCTCACCTACCTGCTGACCGACCTTGGAGAGCCGCCTCGTTCTCCTCCAGTGCTGTACGTAGACAACAAGGCGATGCTGGCCTTGTGTCGAGAGCAGTGCCTTGAGCACAAAATGAAGCACATTGCTCTCCGTTACTTTCTTGCTCGTGAGCTGCAGCAACGTGGTCAGTTGCGACTTGCGTACGTGGCCTCTGAGGCCAACACTGTTGATGTTTTCACCAAGACACTTCCGCCTTGTGATCATCAGCGCTTCTGCACTCAGCTGGGACTTGTACCTGTCTTGCCTCACTTGCTCACCTCTTGACCTTGCTTGTACTCTTTTATACATATACCTGCTCTTGCTTGTTTAGCCCTATATGTCTATGTGTACTCCTGCATGTGAACTGGCCTTCTGGCCTTTTCCTTGCGCTCGGACTGTGTGGTGACGTTGTGATCCACCCTGAGCTGAGCTTTGCTTTGCTTGACTGGTCTTGTGACCCCTTGTTCTCCCCCACTTTGCCTATGGGGGTGTGTCAAGTTATAATATTGTGTAGGCTATAGTGGGGTAGCCCATATGGGGTACACATTTCTAGGGTTGCATATTTGTATCACTTTCATTCCTTAGTCCATCATTCTCGTTCTACTTTCCATAGAAGGTATCGGGTTCGAATCCCAGTGTGTGCACTTCGGGCATCCCAGTGCGGGGGGGTGTCACAGGTCCACTGGTGATCCCCGATTGATCCTAGGGAAGGGTTACAGGCATGTTGGCCTGGGGGGTTATGGGCGCATTGACCCGCTACTTATCAAGCCCTTTTATCCCAATGGTCTAGTGGTTGGGATTCTGACAGGAATTACATGAAGTCTTCGTACAGAAACATGACGCTTATAAATCACTGCGGCGTCGGGTGCGAGGTGGATAAGGACGACCTCATGTCGATCGAGGATGATCATTGGATTACTGATGGTGTGCTAGACTTTCACAACGTGTAAGTATCTTCACGGCGGTCACCTGGTTGACGCTTTGTTGCGTAGTATCTGATGTATGGGCAACATCTAATACGCTTTGTTATTTCTTGTTCATTAACTCTGCAAGTTGCTTAGCATCTGGAAGCCGACTCTCCGTGATGGGAAGACATGGGCTGCCTTGGACTGCAAGGCGTACTTCCAGACGAACTCGTGTGGTGCGCCTTTGACACTGGGGAACGGGCTTCCGCTACTGCAGCACGACTATCTCGCGATCCCTGTGCTAGAGGGGTACGTATCACAAGTATCCGGTTCGTGAGAGGATTCTTTAGCATGACACCGATGGTTGTCTAACCCTAATCCCAACATACCCTCCCAACATAGAGCGTAGGGAGCACTACTCGTTCGTCATCGCTGTATCTCCATCGGTGCTTACCAAGTCCGCGAAATCCGAAGGCAAAGAGCGAATGAAGTTGGTCTTGCTGGACAGCATCATAAAGACAAGGAACACCCGCATGATATTTGCAGGCACCAAGCTGTGAGTACATGGTTTACTGTCGACGTTGCATGTAGCTGGTAGCAACCCAGAACTTGTTTTAACGATTTTGGCCTGTAACCTGCAGAGTGTTGTCCAAACTCGCCAAGGCGAGTAACCCTGACGTGAACATGGAGTTTGTGGACAAGCAGCTGTTGGCTGCGGAGTGCATAATATTACGGGTGAGGGTACCAGTGAATGCGCATACCTGTGTGCAGAATGTTTACGAGGCTAGACGGATTGCTAACTGTAGTGTGCGTTTGTCGAAGTGCAGGAGGATAAGCTGCCATAGCAGCCGAACAAGCAGGACTGTGGATTTTTTGTTTGCCAGTACCTGAAGACCCTGGTGATGTCCGACTTCACCCCGTTATTGAGCGGGCTCTGGTTTCAGGGTGTGACGCCGCACCAATACCGGCAGGAGATGCGGCGCGACTTGTGCGCACACGCGACCGGAGATCTCATTCAGCAGTTGGAAGCGCTGGGGATCGAAATTCCCCCGCAGAACGCAGGCCGGGTAACAGAGGGGGGGGCAGTGGTGCGGGAGAGGAACACTGGTATGGGAGATGTGAGGCAAGCACCGGTTAGTCAAGCCTGGGATGACGCACATGTAACGGTGATGATGAGGGAAATGGCGACTATGAAGAACGATGTGATGTTCCTGGACGCGAGCTTCACCGTCATAGCTAGTTTTGTGGGATTGAGGCGCGAGGAGGTGGTGTCCGCTGCAACCCAACTACTGATGCAAGGCAACCCCGTGAGATCCGGCACGAAAGCAGAGGCAGGTGGCACCAAGAATGCCCCACACACTCCACAGCGTCCATCCGGTCGCAAGAGGCGTGATGACAGCAGTCCAGAGGAGGATGTCGTACGCAATGCCACCCGTGTTGCGCTGGCCTTCTCGTTCGCTGCATGTGATCCGACAGCGCGCTTGCTGCAAAACCCGCTGCTATCGGGAGGGACCATACCTCACTGGATGTTCACCCGTGGGAGACCTCTGCTCGGGGTGACGGTGCCAGCTGGAGCTGATGCGTGGGGAGATACGAGCGGCCACGAGACGATGAAGGCAGAAGAAGAAGAGGATCTCGTGTCAGACACGGAGGACGAAGAGGATGGTGACGACACATGTGCAACGAAGTACACAGGAGTCAAGTTGGAGAAAGCATCAGGCAAGTTCGGCGTGAAGATCCAGATCAAGGAAGGAGGAAAGCGTAAGCAACAGCGTCTGGGTCCATACACATCGGAGAAGGAGGCGGCGTTTGCATACGCCGCAGGTGCGTTCGTCCTGAGGCGACGAGACAAGATACCCAGCACGGTCAGTTTGTCAGCTGCAGAGAAGGCGATGCTGCGTGGATGCACCAAGGAAGATCTGCAGCTCCTGGTGGAAGCGCGGAGGTGGTGGAGGTGGCGGAGCTGGAGGGAGGCGCGGGAGGGCGTGAACTGGAAGGTGAAACGAGGGAGGAAGCGAGTGGTTGCCACGCACACGTCAAAGAGGCAGAGGGTGGTGGATAGCAACAACAAGGCGGCCAACGAACCAGACGACCCTGACAATGGTGAGAGTGGGGGAACGGCCCCTGTGCACAACGGCAGCGGCGGATGTGCTCGGCACAACGAAGCTGAGGAGGGTGTGGAAGAGTCTGTTGCACATGAGATGTTGGTAGACCATCCTGCATAGTTGATGGAGATGCATAGACGTACACATGATTGCAATTGTACGGTATGTTTTGCGAGAAATTCAGTTAGAGATGTGCAGGGCGTCAGATTTTCTGCTTGTATTCGTAATTGATGGGTGCGAAGGCTCTTGCTTACACAGTGGAGCTCAATTGGTCGGTCCATTGTGTGCTAGTGTAACGTGCAATTCGTGAGATGTATAATGAAAGGATGTACGTCAACAATGTGCTGAGTGAATACTTCCGTGAGACATGATGTACTCACAAACGAGTTCCAACGATACGGTTGTGTCGCCAAGATGTGCGCGGTGTGTGGTTTATGTGTGCACACATGTACATGGTGGCGGATGACGTGGTGTGCATGTATTAGCCGTTTCGAATTACGGTCATCCAAATGGACACGAAGTCGTATTCCCTACCAAACTCACTGCCCATGATGGGCTTTGGTGTGGTAAGAAGTTGAGCGGAAGGTATATGTAGAAGTATAGAACTGCGCGTCATTCTGTGAGTATCTCACTGGATACTATTGTTGCTACAATGGATACTTCGCTTGCTTCAGAGGATACTCTGACGAGAGGGTGCGCCCGTCGTGTATCTAACCCGCCGACGTACCTACGAGCGTCGTATCAGCTGACAATGCCGCGCAGTCGGCTGTCGAACAGGAAACGCGGGCCGGCACTGCCTAAGCGTCTGAGCGTGACCAAGAAGGGAAACGAGGTGGTACAGCATCAGCAAGGTATGCAGAAAGAGCGTGGATGGGTGACTTGTTGTACTAATGCGGGTGTTCGCATTGTCTATACGTATGAACCCCAGTGCCCAACAAGTATAGCTGACATGTGGTACCATGCTTGTCTGGAGCCTCTGTATCATCGCAGATGACGGCACTGGTGCAAAGAGTGCTTCATCGTCCGAGCGCAATGAAGAGGATGGCGAGGCAGACTCAGACACATCGGCCTCAGCCTCACCCGAAGAATCCGGCGAACCTGCCACTGGAGGGAAGACGGCTGACGATGGGTGTGCGGGAACCGCTTCACCCAAAGTAGACGGGAGCGAAAGTCGGGGCACGGGGGAGACGGATGTGTATCGGGGCGAAGGCCGAGGACATGTGGACGGGCATGTGGAACGCGCATGCGAGACCCCAGTGGACACCGACGGCGATGACGTGCGCATCTCGAGCATGGTTCTCGAGCAACTCATCCGGGCTCAGGACAGGAGCGCCAAGGAGAACGCGCGGTTGGAGGCGCTGTTCTTGAATGCAATGGCGCAGCCTTCTAGTGGATCTCGTAAGCGTAAGGCTCGGAAGCAGAGAGACCCGGAGCAGGGGTGCATGAACCCGAAGCGTAAGCGTGGCGAGACATGGAGCGGCGGGTCAGACGATGACGGAGAGGACGACGAGGAAGATACGCATGGTTCTGGTGGTCGTCATATGCGTACTGCAAAGTCTCCTATTCTGCAACGTGCGTTGGCGCATCTGCCGACAGACAAGGCGTGGAAGGTGAGCGGGCCTGTTTCCATCTCGGTTCAGTAACTTCCCGTCCGAAATGGGTTGCACTCTGTACACTCTCACAGCTTCGCCTGTTTGGCGTTGGCGGCTGAAAAGTCGCGACGGGCGGATCTCAACAAGACGCTGTTGGAGTGGAAGAAAAGGGCTCCCGCTCGCGTGCGAGACATTGCACTTCCTAAGCTCGGCCTGTTCCTGGACGACAGGGACGCATCCAGCTTGTGGGCACCTCAAAAGGAGCGTAGTATCGAGAAGATAAGGGGGCGCATTGGGCTTGGCGCTGACCCCCCTGGTGAGTGCATGAGACGCGCGTTGGAGTCGTCGACCGTTTCTAGTCATGCACCTGTCAGGCATATATGCTATAGTCTATGTAGGTTGTAGTGGGGCAGTTCATATGGGGTACAACACTTTAGGGTTTGCTACTTGTACTCCTCATTCTGCTCAATGCATTCATTCTCTTGTTCTAATTTCCACATGGTATAGAGCTGGTTCCCTCGTGGGAACTGTTCCTAGGGCCCACCAAACTTTTTTTTTCCAGCCCGGAGCGCGCTTGGCCCCTGCCCGAGTCGCGCCCCGTGTCGTTCCACCTCGCGGCCTCTAGCGGCCCCTCTTACGGCCCCTAGTGGCGTCGTCGCGCCACCCTTGCGGCCCCGTCGCGCCGCCCTCTCAGCGGCCCTGTCGCCGCCCTTTCAGCGGCCCCGTTGCCGCCCCTTACTGCGGCCCAGTCGCCGCCCTTAGGCGGCCCTGTCGCCGCCCTTTAAGCGGCCCCGTCGCCACCCCTTTAGGCGGCCCCGTCGCCGCCCTTAGGCGGCCCTGTCGCCGCCCTTTCAGCGGCCCCATCGCCGCCCCTAGCTGCAGCCCCGTTGCCGCTCTTCAACGGCCTCGTCGCCGCCCTTCCAAGGCTCCGTCACCGCCCTTTCAACGGCCCCGTCGCCGCCCACCCCTTTCGCGGCCCCGTCGCCGCCCTTCCGCGGCCCCGTCGCCGCCCTTTCAGCGGCCCCGTCGCGGCCCTTCCGCGGCCCCGTCGCCGCCCATTAGCAGCCCCGTCGCCGCCCTTTCAGCGGCCCCGTCGCCGCCCTTCCGCGGCCCCGTCGCCGCCCTTTTCAGCAGCCCCGTCGCCGCCCTTTCAGCGGCCCCGTCGCCGCCCTTCAATGGCCCCGTCGCCACCCTTCAGCGGCCCCGTCGCCGCCCTTCAGCGACCTCGTCGCTGCCCTTCAGTGGCCCCACCGAGCCGCCTTTGCTGCCGAGCTGCCGAGTCGCTGCGCCGCCGAGCCACCGAGCCGCTGAGTCGCCAAGCCGCCTGTAATGCCGAGCCGCCAAGCCGCCTTTGCCGCCGAGCAGCCAAGCCGTCGAGCCGCACTGCAGCCGAGGCGCCGCCGCCTGTCGGCCTGCCTGGGACCGCCTCACTTGCCTGGTAAGAGCAGCGCCTCTGCCACTGCACTGCCTTGCCCCACAGTACTCACTGCCTGTCTACTACTGTCATGGCCCCCCCTAGAGTTCTCACCTTTGACGCTGAGGGTCGGGCAGTTGACTTTGAGGTTTGGGTAGATGATATGCAGCTTTTCCTACAGTGCGATAGGGCAGACGGTCTCTCCCTATTTAACCTCACTTCTGGTGCCTCTCTTGCCCCTGCTGCTGATGCTGATGCCACTGTTTGCTCACAGGGCCATGCGCGATGCTGCTGCTCGCCTTGCTCTGCGCCCCTACTTACCGACCACTGAGCGTGCACACTTTATCCAGTACAAAAGTGCTCAGACCTTGTACGACGCTGTAGTTGCACGCTACTCTTCCCTTGCCACTGCTACACTGAGCCGCCTCATGCTACCGTACCTCTTCCCTGACCTTGCTGCCTTTCCCACAGTCGCTGACCTCATTACGCACCTCTGCACTAGTGACACTCGCTACAGCGCTGCGCTTCCTGCTAAGTTCTGCGCCAAGAACCCCCCCCCCCCCCCATGTACATCACCCTCTACTAGATAGTCACCCGGCTCCCTGACTCTCTCCGCGTAGTCAGGGACCACTTCCTCTCAGTTTGCCTCACCACTCTCACCGTTGACCTCCTCGAGAAGGCCCTCCTAGCAGCAGAGAAGAGCATAGTCGCTGTAGGAGCCTCTCGTGGTGACCTTCGCACCCCCGTCTTTGAGGGGTGTTCTCCCTCCCCCCTCTTGCCCTCGTTGGTTTCGAGTCGGTCGGCGCTGCGTCTGCCCCGAGCGGGAGACGCCGCACCGGCAAGGGCAAGGGGGGCAAGGGCGCTGGAGGGAGTGGCAGGGGCAGTGGAGGTGGTGGTGGAGGCAGTGGAGGGAGTGGGGGTGGTTGTGGGAGTGGTGTTGGGGGTGGCGGCGGCGGCGGCACCAGCGGAGGCGGAGGAGGTGGCGGTGGTGGCGGAGGGAGCGGAGGCGGCGGAGGTGGCGGAGGAGGCAAAGGTGGAGTCGGCGGAGGCGGCGGCGGCGCCGGTGGTGGAGCCGGTGGCGACTCTGCGCAGAGGAGTGGCTCAGGTGGTGGTCCGCGCCAGCAGCAGCGGAGTGGCGTGACCCTGTCCCCTCAGAAGCTTCGTGAGTGGTACACTGCGCATCAGCGCGGTGGGGGTTTTGGTCCCTGCACTTCCGTCCTCCGTACTGGCGACCGAGCTGGTGAGCAGTGCGGTGGCCCGCACTCCACCCAGCGCTGCTTTGGTCGCCTGAGCGATGCGTGACGTCGCCAGTTCCCTGAGGCGTCAGAGATCCCACGCTGGGAAGATCTGTCTAGGGCGGGGGTTGCCATCTTTGATCTTAACTATGATGCTATCCTTGCTGCCATATATTCTGTGACTACTAGTGTTGAGGGTGACTGTTACCTGTGTGTACCACCTGACCCTGGCAATGAGGCCGCTGCGCTAGGTGCTGGTGAGGTTGCTGCTCTAGGTGCTAGTGCGTCTGCTGCATCAGGTGCTATTGAGTCTGCTGCCCCAGGTGCTGGTGAGTCTGCTCTCTCAGGGACTACGTCGGCTCAGGCCTTCCACACCTTCACCCTTGACTCGGGTGCGTCCCGCTCCTTCTTTCGAGACCGCACCACTCTTACGCCGCTCAGTCGGCTGGTTGCAGTCTCCCTGGCGGACCCCTCTGGGGGTCCTCTCCTTGCTAGCTTCTCCACTGTCTTAGCGTGCCCGGCAGCCCCCTCTGGCACCCTGTCCGGTCTCTACCTCCCCTCGTTCTCTACGAACTTGGTGAGTGGAGCGGACCTACAGGATCGCGGGGGTTGACCAGTTCACTCCTGCGAGTCAGCGGGTGACCCACTGCACATGTGCTCGGACAGGCCGACACTTGGCCACGTTCACCCGTCGACCAGGGTCGAGACTGTACACCCTTACTACTGAGTCTCGTCCGGGTGCTGAGACTCCCCAGGTAGCTGCGTCGAGTCAGGTGTTTGCTACAGCGTCCAGGTCTGGTCCTGAGTCTGCCCCCTGCTCGTGTCGTCTATTGTCCCACCAGACTCTCCTTTGGCACCACCGCCTTGGTCACCCCTCTCCGAGGCATGGCCTCCCGTGTCCTTGTCTCTGGTCTCCCTCGGTCTCTCCCTCCCCTACCTCCGGGGCCTGGCCCTACATGCGTCCCCTTCGTCGAGGGGCGACAGCGCGCCGCCCCTCACTCCTCCGAGTTTCCTCCGACAGAGGCTCCGCTGCAGACTCTCCACATGGATGTGTGGGGCCCAGCCCGCGTCAGTGGACAGGGGCGCCAGTGGTACTTTCTACTGGTGGTTGACGACTACTCCCGTTACACCACAGTCTTCCCCTTGCGCAGCAAGGGTGACGTCACTGAGGTGTTGATCGATTGGATCCGCGCAGCTTGTCTCCAGCTCAGAGAGAGTTCCGGCTCGGACTTTCCTGTTCTGCGTCTGCACTCGGACAGAGGCGGGGAGTTATCCTCTGCCCGTCTGGGAGCCTTTTGTCGTGCACAGGGCATCCGCCACACCTTCACGCTTCCGGCCTCTCCACAGAAAAATGGGATTGCTGAGCGCCGCATTGGCATGGTCATGGACGTCGCTTGTACGTCCATGATGCATGCTGGTGCCCCCCATTTTCTGTGGCCGATTGCGGTTCAGTACGCTGCGCATCAGCTCAACCTTAAGCCCCGAGTCTCCTTGCCAGAGACCTCCCCCACCTTGTGGACCGGAAAGGTTGGTGATGCGTCTGCGTTTCTGGTCTGGGGATCTAGGGCGTTTGTCCGCGGCTTGTCTGCGGACAAGCTGTTCCCCCGTGCTGTTCCCTGCGTCTTCCTTGGCTTCCCCCCTGACGCGCCTGGGTGGTAGTTGTACCACCCCACCTCGCGCCGTGTTCTGTCCTCCCAGGACGTCACCTTTGACAAGTCGGTGCCTTACTACCGTCTCTTCCCCTACCGCACTACGCCCCTCCCCCCGCCGCCGCTCTTCCTTGCGCCAGGTCCTCCCCCGGTAGACCCCCTCCCCCCTCAGGGTCCTGCCCCGTCATGTGTGTCCCAGGTAGACGCAGTCGAGCCTGTCGAGGTAGCTGTAGACTTTGGTGCTGCTAGAGGTGCTGAGCCTGCGGGTTCCAGGTCTGGGGGTGCTGAGACTGGGGGTGTTGAGTCTGGGGGTGCTGAGTCTCGAGTTGCTGAGTCTGGGGGTGCGGAGCCTGGGGGCACTCGGTCTGCTCGTGTGGCCGCCGACGGTGCTTCGTCGAGGCGGGAGCCGCTCTCTCCACAGGAGCTGCGCGAGTGGTTTGCCCGCCGCTGGAGACATGCTGCTAGAGCTGGAGGTACTACTGTTGCTGCTGGTCCCGGAGGTGCTATTACTGGCGACCCTGGAGCTGCTGGGACTGGGGGTGCTGCTGGGGCTCCTAGAATGGCACCCGTTGGAGCTGCTGGCGCTGCTGGTGCTGCTGGAGGTGGAGCTGCTGGGCGTGTTGGCGTTGGTGTTTCTACTGGCGCTGGTGCGTCTTGGGGTGCTACTGAGCCTGGTGGAGCTAGAGCTGCTAGAGCTGGAGCTGCTAGGGGTGTTGGAATTGGCGCTGGTGCTTCTGAGGGTGCTGCTGGCGCTGGTGCTTCTGAAGGTGCTGGAGTTGGCGCTGTTGGAGCTAGAGGTGCTGCTGGCGCTTGTGCTGCTGGCGCTGGTGCTGCCGCTAGGGGTACTAGTGCTATCCTTGCTGGTTCTGGAGGCGTTGCGCGGCCGAGGCCGTACTTCGTTCCTCTCCTGGAGCAGGTTCTTGGTCTCCCGCCCTCTCCTGGTCCTGCTCCTCCCTTGGAGTGTCTACAGCCTGTCTAGTCGCAATCACAGTTACAGCCTGCCTCCCATCTCCCTGCTCCTTCTCCCTAAACTAGTCCTACTGGAGGTCTTGCTGAGCGTCGTGAGCCTGCGTCTCGTCCTGTGTAGCCTGTTCGTGCTGCTCGCACTAGTTATCGTACTGCGCGTCCGTGTCCTCCTGCGGTCCCCGGCACACACGAGATGGCGCTGCGTCCTTCCACTACTCCTTTGCGTGTCCCGTTGCCGTCTCCTCCAGTGTCCTCTCTTCCTACTCTTGCTGACCCGGAGTCTGACTCTTTTCGTGCTGCTAGTCCTTTGGTCACGCGTCTCCTGGCTACTGTTGTCACTGACCCTTCTTTTGAGTCCACTGCTGCGTCTGCCCTAGTTGCTGAGCTTTTCGACTTCGCTGCTCGCTGTCGTCTAGACTACACTGCTAGTCTCGTTGCTAAGTCTGAGTCTGTCTGTCCTCCGTCCGTCGGGGGTGAGTGTGCTCTTAGCACGGACGTCCTTGAGGACAGGCAGGAGGAGTTCCAGTGCTTTGCTGCTACTTTGCCCCATCTTGTCTCCACGTTGATTTCCCCTGAGGGAGACCCGATGCACCAGACATCCCGACTCCTCGATTGTACGCTGAGGCGATCGAGGGTCCCTACTCCTCTTTGTGGTAGTCGGCCAATTACGCAGAGATGGCTTCCTGCAAGTCCACAGGCACCTACGTCGACGAGGTTCCCCCACCTGGGGCGAACATCATCAGTCAGCAGCAGGGAGTTGACTACTTTTAGACCTTCTCTCCCGCCCCGAAGATGACCACTCTTCGAGTGCTGCTGCACATAGCCGCTCAGCGCGACCACGAGCTTCACTCTCTTGACTTAAGCACAGCTTTTCTGCAGGGCAGCCTGCACGAGGAGATCTGGCTGCGCCGCCCACCTCGCTTCACTGGGTCGTTTCCTCCTGGTACCTAGTGGAGCCTCCGACAGCCAGTCTACGGTCTCCGCCAGGCGCCCCGTGAGTGGCACGACACATTGAGGACTACACTTGCGGCTCTTGGGTTTGCTCCTTCTACAGCCGACCCGTTGCTGTTTCTGCGCACCGACACCTCTTTGCCGCCGTTCTACATCCTCGTGTAGGTCGACGACTTGGTCTTTGCCACTGTTGACACTGGTGGACTCGCCCATGTGAAGTCCGAACTGCACAAGAGACACACGTGCACAGACCTAGGTGAGCTGCATAGCTACCTTGGCTTGCAGATCACCGGAGACAGAGCACAGCGCACCATTACCCTGACTCAGTCACACATGGTGTAGCAGGTCCTTCAGCGCTTCGGCTTCACGTACTCCTCGCCTCAGGCCACTCCTCTGTCTACTCGCCACTCGCTCTCAGCTCTGCCTTCGGATGAGTCCGTAGAGCCGAGTGGCCCGTACCCGGAGCTTGTTGGCTGCCTCATGTACCTGATGACCTGCACACGACCTGACCTTGCATACCCTCTTAGCATCTTGGCACGCTATGTTGCTCCTGGGAGACACCGACCAGAGCACATGGCTGCAGCAAAGAGGGTGTTGCGCTACGTGTGCAGTACGTCGGGCATGGGGTTAGTGCTTGGAGGGCGATGTCGAGTGGTCCTCACAGGTCACGCAGACGCTTATTGGGCTGACGACCAGGCTCTGTAGCTGTCGTCACAGGATTACACCTTCAGCCTTGGCTCCAGCTCTGTTTCGTGGCGGTCTACCCGCTCGTCTTCTGTTCTCAGCTCCAGCTGTGAGGCTGAGATCTACGCGGGGGCCATGGCTGCACAGGAGCTACGCTGGCTCACCTAGCTGGTGACTGACCTAGGAGAGCCGCCTCGTTCTCCTCCAGTTCTGTACGTAGACAACAAGGCCACGCTGGCCTTGTGTCGGGAGCACAGATTGGAGTACAGAACGAAGCACATTGGTCTCCGCTACTTCCTGGCTCGTGAGCTGCAGCAGCGCGGACACCTCCGCCTCACCTATGTGGCCTTTGAGGCCAACACTGCTGATATCTTCACCAAGGCACTTCCGCCTTGTGATCATCGGCGCTTCTGTACTCTGCTCGGTCTTGTGCCTACTTGGCCCCACTTGCTCACTTCTTGATCTTGTTTGTACTGTACTCTTTCTATACCTACACTTGCTTGTTTATCTTAATATATATGATCTTGCATGTGAACTGGCCTTGTGGCCTTGCTCTTGTGCTCGGACTGTGTGGTGACGTTGTGATCCACCCTGAGCTTGCTTTGTTTTGCTTGACTGGTCTTGTGACCCCTTGTTCTCCCCCACTTTGCCTATGGGGGTGTGTTAGGCATATATGTTATAGTCTATGTAGGTTGTAGTGGGGCAGTTCATATGGGGTACAACACTTTAGGGTTTGCTACTTGTACTCCTCATTCTGCTCAATGTCAGAGTATTATCTTATTGTTCTAGCCTGTAGTGGGGTGCTCTATAGCGAGTACAACCCTTCTAGGGTTTGCTATTTGTATCCTCATTCTTGCTAGTTCAATCCTCTTTCTTCTTCTAACTTCTGACACTCAATGCATTCATTCTCTTGTTCTAATTTCCACAGCACCAATGCGAGAATTGTGGACATTGATACCCACGCTTCGGAGGTGGTGTGCAGAAACTCTAGTGCTGATCAGCTGGGCGCAAGACAGGGATGGCATGCCGTTTGCCTCCCGGGCGTTCGCGACATGTGCGAAAGCTGCCTTCAAGCCGAAGAAGGCAGGGCTGGTGATGACCCTTAAGGTGTACCACCTAGCCTGGTTGGAGCATGTGGTGAGTGTGTGTGCGCGATGTGTGCAATGGTGTGCATCCTACTGAAAATGCATGGACTAACTCTTTTTGTGTTGGGCGCAGGTCTCCGACTGCGTCCTCTACTGGGAGGCGCGGAAAGGCCGGCTCTCCAACTCGGCCGGCGGGAACGCCCACGTTGTGGATGGGCTCAAGGTCCTAATCAAGGAGGTCGTGGAGAGGGCGATCCGTATCCGCAACCCCGAGTATGACGCGGAGCGCGAGGCGTGGATTTGGGGGCGCCATGGCTTGCGCATCTCTGCGTGCGGCCTGGAGCACATGAAGCCCGCGGCCGCCACCCAGTCCGAAGGCATCGTAGGGGATGACGACCTTTCGGCGTCACTTGGTGCTGAGTAGACTGTCAATAGAGGATGTTGGTGGTGGACGGTTGAAGAGACAGTTGAAGAGATGCGTAGATGGAATCTTGTACAGCTATGTGTGCGGTGTTGGAAGTTTGGATATGTGGGGTAAGGGGGTTGCATGTGTGTGATTGAGAGTTGAAGAGGACGAATGTAGTTAGGAGTTGTGGTACTCATCATGTGCGACCTTGTTATGACTGGGAGAAGTCGTTTGGGGTAATTGATGTTCGAGATAACACAGGCAAGTAGAGGACGATGTACAATGCGACATGCAGGACCGAACCAGGTGTGCGGGCGGACTAATAGTGCGCCGCATTTGGTGGCGCGAGTCGCGGAGGGTTCCATATGTCGCGACTGGGTTGGACGTGCCCGTCACAACATTGCGGGCGTGAGGCGTTCCGATTGGATATCATCATGGATAAGCATTGAACTGGAACCTATGCCCAATTTGACACGTACGAACAAAACTACGCGTGCCACTTTACTGTACGTTGGAACAATAGAATTTACGTGTAGGAGTGATGGCGTATTGGTTGGGAGCTCGAGTTGATATTTGACGAGGGCGCGACAGGTATACGGTCAAGATTGTTTCGCGCGCATTGAGCGAATGCTTATGGCGAGGAGATGGATGGATGGTTACTAGATGTGCGAGTGGACGATCCGAAGGCAAGTGAACGGTGTAGATCGCGGCTGTGAGCGCAACGTGGCAGCTGGGAGTTGCAGACTATGTGTGCAAATGGACGGTGCGGATGGAGTCGCAACCTTGTAGCGTGAGCAAAACGACTGGGTGCCGAGAAATATGGCGAAGTAAACGAGAATGTGGCAGTGCGACATTTGTACAGCGAGGGTGCAATGTTGGATAGGGTGGATAGGCATGATGCGCCCTCTGATGGATGCCAAGTGTCAAAATGCTAGTGGGTCTCATACACGGGAGTTGCGACGTGCGTACCCGTGGGCTGGTTCCAAGCGTCACGTATTTACGGGCTGATTGATGAGGAGATGGACGGAGAAGATGCGAGTGCGATGTGTCAGCGAGTAGTCGCGAGGTGGTGCTCGCGAAGGAGTAACATGATGTGCGAGTAGCTGACAGGGCGACACGTGAACCGTCTAGATTGCGTGAACAAACGGTATATCTAACGGATGGGGTGCGGGTACGTTTTGATGGGTGAACGCTTACGTGGACCATCGGGTTGATACTGGATGCCACGTGTGTTGTCGCGTACGGATGGCAGTTGGGGTTGCGTAGTTGCAACTTTCTAGTCGGTTGGAAAGGTTAGGTTTGGTAAACTTTCATGTGGTGCAGACCGTAACGGTTTTGCAACGACAACGTTGCAGGTGTAGTATCCGATTTGATACACGCATGTGTACAGAATGCAGCGGAATAGTGATTCGGTAGTTGGTTTGTCAGTTACTGACGCTATGCAGTTCTAAAACCTTGACTTGAAAGTGCCGGGCAAAAATTATCGAGGAAGTTGCGGCTGAGTGTATTCTGAGTGGCTTTTCGAACTTCCCTTTTTCGCGATGCCCTAAAAGTTGTGGTCCAACGGCATTGGACGCTTCGACAAAGCCCAACCACGGAACCTAAGGCGAAAGCATCTACGACGGCGGAATGACGGCGAAATGGAAGCGCGTGTGTGAAACGGTCGAAATCAGCCTACGATGGGGAATAGAGGCTACGGCGTGAGAAGTAGGAGAGAAATTGAGAAGAAATGTGCTAGAAGGAGGGAGAGAGAAGGAGAAGCATCGAGAATGAGATTGACGAGGGGAAAAATGTGCTTCGAGACCAAGGCGCGTTCGAGAAAGTTCGGGATTCGGACTTGCGGAGTGTTCACCAAATTTGGTCCGGTTGCGTGTGCGACTCGGGGTGACACGAGGCCCACGCGGCTACTTGGGAAACAAGTGAAGTTACGAATTGCATTTTGTGTCTTGCCTGACTATAAAACTGCTTGTACTCATTCTGGAAATCATACCAATCAGATTCTGAAAATTTCTGAAGTGTGTATTGACAACTTCAAGCCGAGCTGCGCATATCATTGGATTTGGGGGATCGTGGAGAACACGATAGGCGATAGCAAGTAGACTATTGCCGACTAAGGTGCTTACGATCCTAAGAGATTCAAAAGTCCAAGTCATTGGACGCGGCTACTACTAGTGTGAATCAAAAGCCGAAGTCAGGTCCTGTAAGCATTTGTGACTGGTGCGTCCACGGTGGAGAGTTTTCACTCATAAATCTAACCGAGCAGGTGCTCTGGAATGGAATGATTTTCCGGGCTGAAAATTTCACATTCAATGATCATGGCATGATTCATGTTGATGTTTGATTAGAAACTTGAAATTTACAGCCTTACTCTTTTTGTTGAAGGACTTCGAACAAAAAAAAAAAAAAGTAAACACTTCCAAAAGAAGATGCCTTATAACTTAGATGCATTCTTCAATTATCGTTCAAAATAGAAGGCGTTGGGACATTGTTTGTTCATGTGTGCACGCATGTGTGTGTGTGTGTGTGTATGTGTGTGTGTGTGTGTGTGTGCGTGTGTGTGTGCGTGTGTGGGTTGGGGAACGTGCGTGTGTGTGTGTGTGTGTGTGTGCGTGTGTGCGAGTGCTACGTGTGTGTAATGCAATCTTCTTACTCACACTGTCTCTATCTCCTGCATTGTCTTGCTTCGTCTGCGGCCCTTTCAGGCTCACTAAGAGGTGCCACCAAAATAAGTCTGTGCTACCCTAGCCTCTACAAACCCCTAACGAAGTTGACCTTTCGCGCGGCATCCCCCCTCCCTCTACACTGCCGAGAACCTGTAAGGAACAGACACTCCTAGGACTAGATCAAGAGTTGCTGCAGAAGCAGTGTTATCAACAGAAGCAGAAGCAGCAGCGGTAGCAGCAGCAGCAGCAGGAGGAGTGACAGCAACAGCAGCAGTGGCTACAGCAGCAGCAGCAACAACTTCAGCAACATCGGCAGAAACTTCAGAAACATCAGGAGAAACTTCAACAACATCAGTAGAAACTTCAGCAACATCAGAAGAAGGTTAACTCATATGCAGCCCACATTTCAGTGGTCAACGAAGTCAGCAGGGTCAACAATAACAATGTGGTCAATGTAATCAACACAGTCGGCGATGTCAATCCAAACAAAGTCCAAGTCAATGCTGCCAACAAAATCAGTGCGTTCAACGAGGCCAGCGCAGTCAACAGAGTCAGTGCGGCCAACAAACCACAGCAGCACCAGCACCAGCAGTAGGCCCAAATCTTGGCGATCAACAATGGCAGCAAGGTCAACAAGGAAAATGCAGTCAACGAAGTCAATGCGGTCAACGAACTCAACGAAGTCAATGCGGTCAACAAACTCAACGAAGTCAATGCGGCCAGCAAAGTCAATGCGGTCAACGAAGCCACCAGAGTCAGTGATGACGCTGCATCCTAGAACGAGCTGCAAGGTCTTGTGGAGCAAGCAATGCAGCCACCACAAAGGGACTTTTCAGCTGTTCATGTGAGAGGGTATTTCATAAGGAGCAGTGCTGCCCAAAACTTGCGTCCGCCTCCGTCTCCCACTCAACTCCCGCTCCCTCGCTCTCACACGATGTCGCCACGCCTATTATTCACCAGTGTTGGAGCATCAGATTGTACTCAAGATCGGATTCTTCCTGTTGCTGGATGCCTAGCTAACCAGAGCATCTCCCATGTAGATCAGGCAGGAGGTTTTCGATTCAACTGTGCTGATGCAGCGGGCAGCATTGCTGGGACTGGTACTAGCGGGTCTCCTCACACCTTCCTTGTACCTCCGTCTCCTACTCAGAGCCTGCTCCCCCGTGCTCGCACTATGCCGCCATGCTTGCTAGTCAGTGGGGAAAACGTCGCCAGTGGCGGGGCATTTGATGATTTAGAGAACAGGATTCTTCCGGCTGCTAGTGTTGACGCGCCTCAAAAGTCCTCTCATGACTCAGCATGTTATGGTGCAGAGCACGGGATTCTTCATGCTGCTGGTAGCAGATTTTTACTGCCAACGCAGTGCTTCTCACATGCAGAGCAACCAGGGGGGTATCAATTTAATAGTGGTAATGCAGCGGGCAGCAGTGCTGGGACTGGTGCATGGGATGGTGCTGGGAGTGGTGCTGGTGGTGCTGGGTGTAGTGCTGGTGGTGCTGGAAGTATTGCTGGTGGTGCTGGGAGTGGTACTGGTGGTGCTGGGAGTGGTGCTGGTGGTGCTAGGTGTGGTGCTGGTGGTGCAGGAAGTATTGCTGGCGGTGCTGGGAGTGGTACTGGTGGTGCTGGGAGTGGTGTTGGTGGTGCTGGGAGTGGTGCTCGTGGTGCTAGGAGTGGTGCTCGTGGTGCTAGGAGTGGTGCTGGTGGTGCTGGGAGTGCTTCTACTGGAGCTGGGCGTGGTGCTCGTGGCGCAAGGAGTGGTGCTGGTGGTGCTGGGAGTAGTGCTAGTGGTGCTGGGGATGGTGATGGAAATGCTGCTGGGGACGATGCTGGTTATGCTGCTCAGGATGCTACGCGGGATGGTGCGGCGTGCAGTGCAGCCAGAAGTGGCGGTGGTCACACGGCTTCTGGCACACAGGGGGATCACAGGCTTCATACGTTGGGAGAGGAGCACGCAGAGGAGAGGAAGCACAAAAGCAAGCTATCCAACTGTGCGTCCTCGCGGCGAGCACGGCAGCGGCAGCAGGATCGTCTGGCACAGCTTGAAATGGACGCTGCGAATCTGAAGCTGGACAATGCGAGCGCACATCGACGGTTGACAGAGGCTAATGAGCAGATACGGCAGTTCCAAGTGGAAAAGGAGCAGTCGGAGCAAGAAGTGAGGCGATTGGGACTGGAGTTGAGCAGTATACTGCCATCTGGTTGGAAGATTCGTGAGGATGGGAGCGTGGAGGAGGGTGAAGCATGCGTCCAAAGCAAGCCAGGAGCTGCTCGGTGCCAAGGTGTTGGTAGCGGCGGGGCTTCCTCTGACCTGTTGACATCCAGGGGAGTAGGTGACTCTCATTCTCCTGGATCCAC